GCTTTGAGTGGACTGTCCAGAAAAGCGCTATATAAGTGTAAGCAATTATTATTATTATTATTATTATTATTATTATTATTATTATTATTAGTGCTCTGACTGAGCACAACTTTGAATGGCCAGTGACCAGTGTTTCTTTTATTTTTCAGTTGGGAATGGAAATATATTCTCTTAATGGCTTAATTCAGTGACTGCCTTGAAGTTCCCCTTGTTTCTGAAATACTTACTATAGTGATAATTTCGCCTATTATGCATTTCTGTTTGAAAGGATAACCATGAACGGCTAGATCAGCCACATATCAAGCAGTGCCGAATGATTTTCTTTTTGGTGTTGCTGTCTAACTACCTCTTGGTTGGGTGCAGCCCGGTGCAGCAGGTTATTGACTTTTGCAGCTGGCTCCTGCTTGTGTTTGTGGTGTTGATTTTCTGCCTCGCCTGCGGCAGCTCAGCGCGGTGGCCGAGCCCGTGTCGCCATGGGGCTGACGAAGCAGTACCTGCGGTTCGCCGCCAGCGCTGTCTTCGGCGTGATCGGGAGCCAGAAGGCCAACATCGCTTACGTCACCCTGAGAGGAGGAGAGAAGGGCCGATACGTAGCTGTCGCAGCCTGCGAGCATGTTTTTATCTGGGACGTCCGCAAAGCAGAGAAGGTGAGGAGGGGGGTCGTACAAGCGCTTTCCTTTTCCTGACGAGCCTTTCGTTTTCTTTTCTGAGGGAAATATGGGACACAAAAGATTCCTCTAGTCCTGAAACTTTGTTGTGCCACAGTATTGTGAAGAGGTCATCTTAGCTTTCTCAGTGTTTGGCACAGAATATTTCAGTTTTATGACATTGCACTGCTGCCGTTTTCATGTTCGGAAGTTAGACTTCACTCAGAGAAACGTTTTTTTGATGCTTTGATTTTGTGAGATCTGGGTCGTTTTTTGACAGTTCGGAAGTCTGAATGGGTTATTGTGGCAAACGTCAACCCTCTCCTGCCTTTTCAGGTCCTTATTCTTAAGGGGAATAAGCAGGAGGTGACCTACCTCTGCCCTTCTCCTGATGGCATCCACTTGGCCGTGGGCTACGAGGATGGCTCTATTCGGATCTTCAGCCTCCTCGGTGGAGAGAGCAACGTGTCTTTCAACGGCCACAAGTCGGCTGTCACTGTCATTAGATATGATGAGCTCGGTGCGCGACTTGTGTCAGGTGCCAAGGTAAGCTAATCGATTACAAGACACCAGTTCTCTTTCTGGCCTTTCGCCTTCTGCCACTTGCGCACACAGGCAAAGAAGCCAGGCCTTTTCTCTGCTGTGCTCGTCTTTACAACCCTCCTTGATCACAGTGCTCTCCTCAAACGCTGTTCTTTAAATCCTCTAGATGTGCTTTATGTTCTGTTATCAAGCCTTTGTTTTATAGCACGATGCATTAACCCTTCCTCCCATTTGTTGGGATATTAATTTTTATTAAATCAGATTGAATCTTAGAAGTATGCAGTTACGTTCTCTTTAAGCCTGTGCAGCCATCACACTGAAACTGTCTTTGAAAAAGTAAAGTTATAACATTCAGTATTTTTTACAAAGCATTACTGCTTTGTTGTAGTAAGTCCCTGGAGCCTCTTCATTGTAGTGTTTGAAAGTGTGCGTGCAGTAAACTGAGCCTGGGCTTCCTTTGCACTTCAGGACACCGATGTGATCGTGTGGGATGTGATCAATGAATGTGGTTTATACCGCCTGAAGGGACACAAAGATGCCATCACACAAGCTTTGTTCCTAAAGAACAGGAATCTCCTCGTTACAAGGTAAAGCTTATTAAAGCCGTTGATTTAGGGGGATCTACAAATTTAAACCTCATTATTTTCTGTTAGCAGTCTGCAGACTGTTAAAAATATTGTGTGCACTTTAAGCTTCTTATTTGCTCTGCTGTAATAGTCAGTGATCATAATTATGACTGTGTTTTGCCTTACTATTGCTGTTGTTATTTCAGTTCCAAGGACACTTTTGTGAAATGGTGGGATCTGGACACGCAGCACTGTTTTAAAACCATGGTTGGACATCGCAGTGAGGTGAGGCTTCCTTTTATCGAAAAAAAACTCTGATAATGCATCGACAGGGCACAGATAACAGGCGTTGTCACTGATATTTCTGTCTTTGTTGTGGTTGATCCGATTTATATATAGAACTTTTTACTTGAGCTTTTGTTAATTAAAATAGTTTTGATTGTTTTCAGGAATAGTGCTAAGATGTACTTATGTGTGCACCCGGAGTGAATTGATTGTTGAAGCCTTTTCTGCTTGTAGGTTTGGGGAATGGTGCTGCTAAACGAGGAGAAGAGGATTGTCACTGGCTCTGCCGACAGTGAGCTGAGAGCTTGGGACATCACTTACCTGCAGGAGGTAAAACAGGCGTTAAAGCTGATTATGACAACAGCCAGCCTGTCTTCGCCTTCTTTATGTTTAAATGTAGGAGGTCCAGTGTGGAGTTTGTCATGATTTAAATAGTTATTTAATAAAAATGTGCCAAAAAGGTAAATGCTCTCAATCAGGCAAACTGATACTTGGTGATTTTTTTAAAAAGTGAAGCAGAACATATAAAATTCTCATCATCATGTCCTCGCTGACCGCTGTTTGATATTCCAGCATGATGTTTGTATGCTATGAGCAAGGTTTCTGTTTTTCATCTTCACAAGACCTTGAGTAGGATGGTCTTTATATTCTGGCTTATAAGTGATTTTATCCATGTTTCTGTAGCTGTTTGTGTCGTCGCTTGTTCAGACGGGTTTCAACATCTCCCATGTGGCGAACTAACACATGGCACCAGTCCTGCTGCCGCACAGTAATGCATCTGTTTCCATCTCAGAACAAGGAAGAGGGGGAGCCGGAGGTGAAGAAACCAAAAGCACTGCTGGATGATCGGGATGACCAGGAAGAGGAGCTGGATGAGAATCCAGCAGAGGTAATAATAATCATTCATATTTAAACCAATTAATTATTAATCCAACCTCAATTTCTAGAATCGCTTTATCCAGTACATGGTCACGGAGGACCCAGGGCCTTACCCAGCAAGTAACGGGGGCAAAGTGGGGTACACCCTGGACGGGACACCAGTCCATCAC